GTTTGTATTATAATCAATTATAATCAATTGCACTTACACATTGTAAACCGATATTCAATTTTCGTGCTCCTTCTCTGATAGATATGGAGTTTTTGCCTTGAAAATGACCTTATGAGACATAGTAATTACCATATCTCATAAGGTCATTTTCAAGGCTAAAATCCCATATATTTTCCACTGAAACATGATTTAATTTCGAATATTTTACGCTGAATGGTTTTAATTACGTCATTGTATACGAAACTATATTTAAATTTATTTTTTTAGCTCAGTAACAAAAAAAATTAGGTTTCCAATGTTTCACAAGGTCGTCAAAAAACCGTGAAATAAATGAATACCTCCATAATTATTAATTGTTTTTGCTATTGCGAAAAAAGGTCAAAGAATAGTTTAGTTTAGTCAAGAGAAACTATTTCAATCTGACGCGACTTAAATTTTAAATTTACACTTACATCGAATTCTGACTCACGACATATACATCAATTTCAGATATTGGTGTATGGGAAAATATTAATCATGAACGTGTTAGACCATTCAAAGATATGCAAGTATGGGATGGCATTAGTAACGCTCGCATAAGGTTTAATAGTGATGACAGCATCCCTATTAATAAAAGTGCAAAAGCCCTCGCTTGGATCATAGAAAATCATAATATTCAACATGCTATTCTTACCAAACTTGCACAATCTAAAGATAATAACTTTGACTTTCTCGAAAATACAACAGTAAATAGAATTATGTTTGATGATAATTATGAAAATGAACATTTTGACTTATCTGATTGGCCAAGTCTTGAATTAAATAATGGAAAAATTTTGAAAACTAGATTATTGGTATATATATTTCTCTCTATTTTTTTTTATATCATTTATTCGAGTTTGTTAAATTTTTTTTTCTTTATAATGATTACTAATAATTGAAGATTGGTGCAGATGGAATCAATTCTGTTGTACGCTCGTTTGCTAACATTGAATCACTTGGTTGGGATTATAATGCACGTGCAGTGGTGGCTACTCTACAGGTAGACTCACTAATAGAAAATGGGACAGCATGGCAAAGATTTTTGCCAACAGGCCCTATTGCATTGTTGCCGGTATGAACCACAATAACAATAAATGTTGCAGCTGAAGTTGGAAACGGAGTCTATTTAAAAATACTAATCCTATTAAAATTCACTTAACTCTTTATTATAAACTTTAAATTCTCTAAATTCTAACTTAACTGTAAAAATTTCATATTAAAACAAGTCCAATTTTTACCTTTATCCGTTTCCAACTTCAGTAGCAAAATTATGAATTGATTATATAAGGCAGTAAATAATAATTATTTATAAAAAAAAAAAAAAAGATCAAAAACGGAATTTCATCAATGGTGTGGTCTACGACTCCCCTTCTTGCTTCAAAGATATGTAAACTTCCATCAAATAAGTTCATACATTTAGTGAATTCAGCATTTCACCTTCGAATTGCTGATTTAGAATATTTATATTCTCAATTGGAAAATAATGAAATTGATTTTGCAAAAGAATTTGAGTGGCGTCAATCTATTGAAAAAAAATCAAACACAGGAAATAACTCTATAGGAACATTTCCACCATTAATATTGGATGTACAAGAAAAAAGTCGTGCGGAATTTCCATTAAAGATGAGAAATGCAGAAAGTTATGTAAAAGAAAGGATTGCTCTTATTGGGTAGGCTGTTATAATATCGAACAATTTTTTTTTCAAATGTTTTTATGCTTCATGCTTAAAATATTTTAAAATAGCGATGCTGCACATACAATACATCCACTTGCTGGACAAGGGCTAAATCAAGGATTAGCTGATGTACAAAGCTTAGTCAAAGTCATTGAACATGGAGTTGTTACAGGACAAGATTTAGGTAATTTTATTTATATTATAATACAGTTTTAAAAATAATTAATGTATGTAAAAACAATTTACCAAAATTTTTTTTTAAAAAAAACAAAGGAAATATACAATTGCTTAAAAATTATTCTTCTGATAGATATTTATCAAATCTCATAATGTTGGGAGTAGTTGATAAATTGCATAAATTGTTTGGAAATGATTTCGCACCTATTGTTCTTATGAGATCATTAGGGTTGCAAGTAATTAATAATTTAGAGCCTGTGAAGGTTTGTAATAATAAGTTTTTATAAATGTATTATTTATTTATTACTAATTATTTACTTTTAATAATTTTTTTTTTAGTTTGAAATAATCAAATATGCGATGGGAATTGAATAAAAATTGTAAGTTATTTATATATATTATTACATACTATTAATAGTATTGTATATTATTAAGTAACTTTAATATATGGGTAATAATTTTTGAAATCGGACCAAATTACAACTACGTAATCAATTACATATCTACTGTATCACTATCGTATCAGTACTATTAAATAATTTTTAGTTATAAAAAAAAATCTTTTGATTTTTTTTTATTATCCATAAAAGGATTTTTCTATTTCTACTAATACAAAAATTATTATGTCTAACACTAACGAAAAAATAAATCAAATAATTAATAACATTAAAATTATGCATACCAATGCAAACCTAAAAAATAAATCAAACGTACTTTCTTTATTGGCAAAAATTTTAAGCCGTTCAAAGTGATCGATTTAAGACTGCTGTTTGAAAGGCCAATTAGTCTTTATTTTTATTAACTGATTATCAAAGATTTATACCACCATCCCGATCAATTATTGATAAAAATACAAAGCAACTTATTAATGAATTTCTTTATAATAATTCACGAAGATCATCAATTACAAAACGCAAACAAAATTCTGAAATAAATGAAGTGTATTTTTTAGAAAAATCAAACACGATATTTATTTTGAATTAAAATCACAATATCCAGATATAAAACTTAGTTCACTTTACAAGTTATGTTCAAAAAATCTTAAAAAAGCTCAAAAAAAAACTGATATGTGTCAAGTATGCATTAAAGAACAACAAGCTAAAAGAAAATTACAACAACTTACATCTATAACATCAACAACTAATCCTATTATTCTCGAAAATTTGAAAGAAATGGTTAATTATTATTATCATCATCGTAATTTTAAGGATATTTTTATAAACAATCAATTGAACATACAACAACTTCATCCTGTGTAATTGTAACAGATTTCAAGAAAAATATTAGAATTGGAGGCGATCTAGTTGAGACTGAAAATAATTTTTTTGAAAAAACTCAAGTATCTGTTCTTGGATTTGCAGTATATTATCATGAACCTGATCGAAGTTTACATACACAATATTTTGATTACTTTTCTGATGTTTTGAGTCATGATACATTATTCGTTATAAACTGTATTACAAAGCTTCTTAGTCATTCTTTTATGTCAAGATTTCATGAAGCTTGTTTTTGGTCAGATTGTGAACCTCACGTTCATTTTGTTGAATTGATGGATTTTTTTTTTTGATATATACCTTCAGTATGCCAAGGAAAAATTTATTTAAATTATTTTACAGAGTACTATGGGAAGAATATCATTGATAGTCACTTTGGTGTATTATCTAGATGTTTTTCTGAAGGCGAAGCTACATGAAATATTTATACAATTGAAGATTTGATTAATTTTTTTCGAGAAAAAGCTAATCAAAATTATATAAATATCAATACTTCAATAATGAACTTTGATGTTTATTTACGAATACAATGTCAACTAAATATCCATTAATTATGTATTGATAATTTTAAATCATATCAATTATTTGTACGAATAAATAATAAGCTTTATGCTTCTACATTAAGTACATTAATTGATACGAATTACATAGAGGTTAATTATAAAATGAAAACAATTAAAGATAACAGAAAAACAAAATATGTGCCAAAAAAACAAATATTAAATACAGAAGTTCTGGTTGTAATAGGTGTAAAAAGTAGACAAATATTAGATACTAGAATTAGACTTTCAGATAGATTTTTACAAAATATAATAATATAATATAATGTTATGAAGTAAAGTTCAAAGTAAGGTAATAACCAATAATGGCTTTGGGTCCAGTTATCTTCCTCCCATGCAGGCCTTACTTCATTATTATCATGTTTATGCATATTAATAAAAAATAAGAAATAAGATGTATATATAAGGTGAAGTCAATAGAAAAGGTGCAAATTTTTCTAAGTAAAAGTTTTCTTGATTTTAAGTTTAAATATCTTGGTAATTATCTTATCAAATTTACTAAATGTTTTTTTTATTTTAATTCTATATAATTTTAAATTTAAAATAAAAAATTTTTATAAATTTGATTAATTAGTTGTTGAAATATTTTAATTTTAAAATTAAAAAAATTTCACTAAAAATGATTTGTTCCTTTTTTATTAACTTCACCCTATATTGGTGTTTCAATCCTATTTGTTAAAGGCTATCTGAATTGAATTCAGATTTCTTTTTATTTATCTGATTAATAATCTGAATTTAGACAAATTCGAATTCATTCGGATTTATAAAGTGTAAAATAGGTTTTTGGATCTGGTTTTAAATTAAAACTGATAGCAATTCGACTATATCATATACTATACTATATATGCATACATATACATTCAAATGTATCACCACTAGTTATATATAATAGTTATATTCTGTACAGTTGGGTATAAGTAGGCTGAAAGTCCTGTTTATATGCATAGTACCCAGGGTATAACTGATTTATGCTCTGTGATTTTGATAAGTAACCAGTGTATAAATAATTTATATGTAGAATTAAATTTAATATATAATTATTCCTCTTTATTTAACTTGTGTTTAAAATTTTTCTTTTATATAGTACTAGTAACATGCTTTCAGAAGATCCTTTATATTGGTGGAAAGTGTGTTTCCAAAATTTTTCAAAACTTACCAAAATTGCCAGAAAATATTTTGCAATGCCAGCAATATCAGTGTCAAGCGAAAAATTATTTTCAGCTACTAGCAACCTAGTTAGTTTAAAAAGAATAAATTTAGACCCAACTTTAGTTGGTTAAATACTATTTCTAAAAAGAAAACTAGATAAATACCTGTTTTTGTACCAGAATAGAATGATGAAATAGAGTATATTAGTAAGGATTAAATGCTTATCATTTTTAATAATTTAAAAAAAAAATTGCAGATAGTAATTGCAAAACTGATACAAAGAAAGAACTAAAAATATATTTCTAGATATATAAACATCTTGTTAAACAATAATAGCAAATTTAAAATATCCAAATCTAGTAGAGAAGAAACAATACTTTATAGTTTGCAGTGTATTGAATAATTAGATACTATAAGCAGCTAATAATAGACCAGAACTTCAATATAATTTTGATAAGTTGTTTAAAAAATAGCTTAGATTTTAATATAAATAGTAGAATAAATAGTTTTTAGATATATACTAATAGTTCACTAAGTTATGAAAAAGATAGATATAGTATAAGTGCTAGATAAATACAAGTAGATAAAAAGTAGAAAAATCTACTATAGAAGAGTTGCACAAAATTGAAAAATTGGCCATCATTAACTTATTGCAATTTGGCTAGCTTTTTTTACTATTTTAACAAGTTGTAATATTTGTGTTTACTTAGACAGTGTAGTGGCAATTACTAGTATTAAAAAAATTAAAAATGAGTAAGATTTAACAAAATTTATAAAGAAAAGAACTAGGATATTTTGATCAAAATTGCAGATTTTATCAAAGCTAAAAAAATTAATTTAGAGCTCAAAAAGATTAAAAGTTATAGCAATAACAAATAAAATAACAAAGCAAATCTATAGTACTAGCAAAAAAAGCTACTTTACTAGCTTACCTGACAAATATTTATGCAGACCGTAATATCAAAAATATTTTTTCTCTTTTAGAACAATCACAAAGTTGAAAAATCAACTAGACTATTTCTAAAGAAAATTTTTGAAACCTGAAATAGCACAAACTAGAGACTAACAGAGACAATTCTTGCTCTAGAACCTGAAATAAACAATTCTAAGTTAGACTGGTATACATACTAGAAAAGAATTAAAAAATTAAAAGAAGTAAGATATAATATATTAAAAAGAGTAAAAAACTTGCAACACAACTGAAGTGTCTCTTGAAAAACTTATCAGTACTTAGAACTTTAGTAACAAGAAGACCAGATATCTATACAGATAGTAACTATATAGTCTGCGACAAAGATATATTAGAAATACAAGACCATTTAGCTAGATGTACTTAATATTTATTTTCACATATGCAAAAGTGTGCACACATGTGTGGATTCAATCAAATTGCTTTATTTAAAATTTTGATTAGATCTGCATATGTGCATACACTTTTGCGCACACAAAAAATAAATACTAGATATACTTATTATAAAGTAATATGACAAAATATAGAGAATATAGCAATTGATTTAGCCTAGTTCAAATTTACAAAAGAAGAAAAATATCATTGCCCAAAAAATACTCTTTATAAGATTCTTATTAGAGACTCAGAAACTATCAAATTAGAAAAGAGAAAGTTATAGATCAAAGATCTAACTATGATAGAATCTTTTAATAAAATTAAGAACCTTCTGAACTTAACAAAATCAACCTCATGTATAGTAGAACTCACAATGCATATAATCTAGAATAGTTTCTATAATTTTATATAGAGAAATAGATACAGCAAAATCACAAAATAGAGAAAGAAACAAAATATAAAAAAGACAAATAAAAGAAAAAAGAAAGAAAGAGTAATAAAATCAGAAAAGCTTTTGTTTAGCAACTTGAAAGAAAAAGAAGTAAAAAGAAAAAAGAAGAAGGAAAAAAGTAATAATATTAGAAAAAAAAAAAGAGACAAGATATTGTTAAAAAAAAAAAAAATACAAAAAGTATGGAGTAACACCATCTTGAATTAGATACAAAAAGGTGAAAACCTCTTTTGAACAAGTTTATAAAAAGAACTTTTTTTTAGCTTATCTGTAAGCCAATGTAATAGGTTGCACCTAAGTACTACAATTAAATAAATAGTGAAGTCAGGCTCTAATTTAGTCTTAAAAATAAAAATATAAGGTAAGTATAGATATTATAGCATAGTTAAAATAAATTTAGTATAACTTGTAATCTATTGGTTCAAATTAAATGATTTTGGTACTAATTAATTTATTTCATTAAGATGAATTGAATAGTACTAAAATTGCCTAATTTAGATTATAGAATCATGAGTTATTAATGATCATATGTATACAAATTTTAAAGAGTAATATAGCACAATATAGATATTATGGCATACTAGCAATATCTCATGGTCTAGTAATCAGATTTGGATAATTTTACCACCAATCTACAGTATTTATCTCAATGAGTGACATAAAAATTACCTAATATAGATTGTTAATTTCAAGGTATTATTATTTAAAATTATAAGCAAAATATAGTAATTAAAAGAAAATCCAAAATAACTTGTAATCTAATGTTACAAATTGAATAATTTTTATACTATTTGATTTGTCTCATCAAGACAAATTAAACAGTACCAAAATTGTTCAATTCTAATTACAAGGTCACAGGTTATTAATGACCATGTGTAATACAAAATTAAATAAATATAAAATGGTGCAATTGGAGTATTATAGTTTATTAGCAATATCTGTGATCAGATTTGAATGATTTTACCACCAATTAATTCATCTAACTAAGACGAATCAATTAGTACTAAGATTGTGCAATTCCAATCAGTAGGTCATGAGATATTGCAACTATGCTATAATTAGTAGTGCGCTATAATACCCATACCCACCTTATATAAAATTAAATGTACTTAAAACTAAGAAGTCAAGCCACAGCAAGACCTATTAAAGAAATAAAAAAATAATAATAAAAAATAATCATTTAAAATTAATGTAAAAAGAATTATTTTTGTTTTCACACTCAAAATATTCATATAGTTTTTTATCATTAATATCTAATTTAATAGCTTTACAATAGTTAAAATCATCATGTTTTTGTTTTTTTAGTTTTGAATTAAATTCATTATAATTTGAACAAATTAAAGCTTGTTGAAATACAACATCTTCATCTAGCAATTACTCAGAATTATAATTAACAAATTTGCTTTTTTTTTTTTTTTTTTTTTTATATATATATTTAGAATCATCTGAATGAATATCAGAATTATAATTAGTTTTATTATCATTCTCATAATTTTATTTTAAATTTTTTTTTTTTATACTTTAATAATTTTGTTTTGAACTTTCAATTTGAGGATCTTGTTATTTTTTGCTAGTTTTACTATGTTTTTAATATCTAAAACTATTAATTTTTGATTATTTTGGTTTAATTTTTTAGTATTAGTAATAGCATAATCTGTATTTTTATTAATATTTTTAATAATTATATCTTTATTAATATCATTATCCCAAATTCTTTGTTAATAATATAATTTTGTTTCTTTATTTTGATAAATTTTTTCTTTAAATCCCAAATCAATTGTAACTTTTTTTATGTTATCAATATTGTATTCTTATTAAATTCAATATCAAATATTCAACTATTAAATTTATTTTTGCTTTTTTTTTAAAAAATTTGTAAACATTCACTTACACTATCCTGTATTGAATCTCCTT